GCAGACAGCACGTTTTACTAATACATGCATTATGGTATGGTAATTATGGTAAAATGCACCAATTTATGTAGTTATGTCTGAAATTTTTTTTACATACTCATACATATATTTTGTTTGAATGTACATAATTATTGCAAACTATTATCTGTGTAATCCTACTATATATCTACATACGTATACTGAAATATATTTTCATATCTCTTAGAACAAAGTCACATGCGCTATGGAATTTATGTTATGTAGCACTTAAGAAAATATATAGCACTTATAAGTATTTACATATACACCCAAATATTCACATATTTATGTATATGTATTAATACATATTACATAGCTGTGATTTAAAAATTCCAGCTCGCATTCAATAAAAAGCTCTGGGTATTTCTGTCTAATTATAGACCACACATACATACATACAAACACATAATTTGTTGTAGCAGTTAGCTTACCTCTTGATAACAATAATAAGCCACAATAGTTGTGTGTATGTAACGGTAAACGTAACGAAAACTATAACTGATTTTGTTTTGATAAGATTGTGCGTCTGTGTGCATGTACATATGTATGTGCGCTTGTTTATAAATATTCTTCCGAAAACAACACGAGTATATTTACACAATAAAAAACTTATGAATGAAAAAATATTTTTTATTGCTCTGCGAAATGTAGAAATACGTTTTTATTATTCTATTAAACACTTGCTTGTTTTTTAGTCAGTAAATAAATATAATTGTATATTGGGGTGGTTCATAAAAAAGTTATATATTGCTTTGAAAATTCGCAATATTTTTGGGAAATATTTAATTATGACTGAAAATAAAATTAAATACGGTTTCTCCGTGTCCTCAATGAAAAGCACACAACAGCCTCGGATGAAAGACCCCCCCTTTTGATTGAATTGAAAAGAAAAGTCCTTTTTCGATGAACGAAGACCAAACTCTACAGTACCCTCGTCATTGATGTCCAACTATATAGCGTAGTATAGACAATGACATCATCTGATGAGTCAGCCTTAGGAGTGTTCGGGAGAATGGTTTTGCATAACATGTACGGTACGTATAGTCTTTTGCGAATTGATAACGACGATTACCGCAGTTGGTGGAACGATGAGCCATACGAAATATTTCAGCGAATTAAGAGACAGCGGTTACGACGAAAAACATATAGGATGACAACACTTCCGCTCTGAAATTATTCGACGCAGTGCCCGCCGGGAAAAGCAGAGCAAGAGGAAGACCTCCCCTACGTAGGAGAGACGAGGTGCAGAAGGACCTGGCTACACTTTTAATCTACAATTGGCGCCAAACAGCAAAAGGAAAAATGACTGGTGCGCTGTTGTAATCTCGGCTATATAATATTGTTCGGAGATGATTTCATATGATGTGCTTTGATCATACCAAAGCAGTACTAAAATATAACTAAACTAATTGCTATAAGACTCAGAGAAGCTAGGTAATTACCTTATATTAAAGAGTCCAAACAGGAGCACTCTGAGATTGTTTTTTCTTTCAACTGCATCCTTAAAAACTTGGGCCACTGCCTCACAGAGTCTATTCCTGAGTAGCCGTAGACGTATTATTCCAACCTGCAGCATCTTTCGGGAAGTTTTCCATTCAGCCCGACAGCAGGGCAGCAATGCTAGCGTTGAGCTCGTTCACTGCGCGCTCAGAATTAGTCAAAGAGTGTGTGCCTTCGCCATGAAAAGCTTTAAGCTACTTTATTAACAGACTCGTTTGAATGTTTAGTCATAGCGGACTCCTCGGAAACTCTAAAGTCGATGAGCTTACATCTTATTACGTACCAGCTAGGTCTCAGTTGTGATCTTGCGTTCTAGGCTATGAAACTCGCTGAAACTTAGCAAACGTTAGTCAACCCCCAATTCCTGCCTGACTGCGATCCTGCCTTGTCCTATTTCATTCTAGCTCAGCAGGTCTTGGTCAACCACCAGTTCCACTGCGACTGTGAGGTGCTTCTGACCTACAGTAAGACGTAAGAGATCCACTGAACTACCTGTTCTTAGCAGGGTTCAAACTGCTACAATCGTAGGAGCTCTACTCCTGCGGTAAGACTAAAAAATTATTAGACATCACATTTCAAAATTGAATTGAAGGAAGGTAAAGTGTAAACATTTGTTCGCTTTCACCTTCCTCATTTATTAATAGATTTTGCAAAAATGAGCTTTAAACAACTTAGAGAGCAGGCGAACTAAGAGAGAGAGAGAATTCAAATAATAGAATCAAAGCAATTTGTCGATTTTCGTAGGCTTTTATGATCAAAATATAGAATTTTGAAACGGAACACCGTGCTAAGCTGGCCAAACGAGACTCTTCTTGGAATTTGTAACGGATCGACCTTTTAACCTAGTCTAACCGAACTTCAAATCTGGATGCACTTATTTTAGGCGAAATTGAATTTGGTATTTGAAACGCTGAATTTTGTATTCCCTGTAAATTAAAATAATAGAGACAGTTCCATTGGAAATAGTCTTATAAGTTGGACATGTTAATTCATTTTCAAGGGCAAAAATTTTGAAATTTTCTTTAAAGCAAAACAATTAACGTCACTATTTATGAATGGTCGATTATTTGTGCTTTTTATTTGAACAATCAAAACGTGATTATGCTTTCGGCCCGCCCAAATCGCATCAATCAAATAAATATTTCATTGTTTATTTTACTGCGAATTAATTAGGGGATTTTCTTTGTCAAAATGTCAATGTCCATTTTCACAGATTTTCTTGGCATTATTGAGTTCAATGGGGAATTTAAAGAGCTTCAGACTGTTACGTGCCAATATGAAGGCAGGTTAGGTCCATTTTACGTATTATTTTGTCATGCTTTAGTTATCATTTGCTTTCTCAGATAATTTCACTTTAATTTAGGAGCGCTTAAGGTGGCTGACATTCTTACTGAATCATGCTCGTATACAATATTTACATATTACTTACGAGAGTGTGCCTCTTGATTTTTAGTTAAGAAATCTTAACGCTACGAGGTTTTCATAAATATCTATTTCTTTTACTTTGAGCAGACGAATTAAAAATAGTGTTAGCATGTAGCTTCACCAGATTTTCTATTAATTCTATTAAAGCGTTTATCTCCATGGCCTCATAATCGTGCACAGATTTTGAAGATTTTTATCAGAATAAAGATATCAAAGTTCAGATAAATTTTTTTCTTACTTTTTCGTTAGAAAGTGTATAATTTTTATTTGCGTACCAAGTTTATCTAATCATGCCTAGTTAAAATTTTTAAATTTATGTCTGATTCGTTGATAGTATAAAATAATTTTTTTGTATACAGACGTTCGCAATAGTATGTATAGCGGCTCTTTGAGTTTGCTGAATAGCCGGAAGACACACGGGGCAAAATAAGGCGAATAGGGCGGCGCAATACTAGACGAAATTTTAAAATTTGGCGAAAACTCACGAAGAATCAATACAGTATGAGACAGTACATTATCGTTTTGCAAAATCCAAGAGTTGTCGGTCCATAGTTCCGGCCAATAATACTCAAAAAGTATTCCTTCTTGACAGTTTAGCCGGTTGGAAAAAATTCGGAGTGCATCACAATTCGAAAATTTAAGAAAACTGTCAACATAAGTTTTTTTTTCGGTTAGGCTCACGGTATTCGGTCGATATTCGTCGGTTTCCGGGTCGTAGGCATAGATTCAAGACTCGCCAGTAGTCGGAAAGCATAGTTTCACAAACGTTAACGCGCCGCTGTTTTTCGAAAAAATTTAGTGATTTTGGAACTAAACGAGCTTTCACTTTTCTTAGGCTAAAATGATCTTTCAAAGTGGTTTTCACCGATTCTTCCGATATTTCAACGATGCAGGTAAGATCTCTAACTGTTAATCGTCGCTTCCCAAGCATCAAGCATTTAATGGCGTGTTGATTATTGTAAAAACAAAGTAGTGTAAAATGCTATATACAGTCCTTTATTATCAATCCAAATACAGATTCTTGTAGTTGGATCTCTGCGATCGACAAAGCCTCTCGAACTTATGATAAATCTACATATGTGCCCTGTTTTGTTTCTATTATTTTATCTGGATGATAATTCATAATCAGGCAAAGGTGAAACAAGAAGAAAGTGTTAAGATCGTTATACATCATCATCTTCATCTATAATTCACAGTCAGTCAGCTCAAAGCTAATATCGCTTTCTTACTATCGGTATGTTAGTCATCAGTCTGAAGAAGACTACGCCCCCTAGCAGTTGGTCTTCTGCTATCTAAATGGCAGCCACTTCCGCTTGGAGATGTGGTTTAGTGTACAAGAAGTCGAAAGCTTGAGTTATTGTACTCAGCCATCCTACTGTACTCAGCCATCGATCCTCCACAGAAGCTTTGATCCATCCGTAAAAGAGCTCATCGCGACTCTTTCATGGGAAGTCCTTCACTCCCATACCTCTGCAAGCTTTGATACACCCGTAAAAAAACTAATCGCGACTCTTTCCCGGGAAGTCCTTCACTCCCATAGCTCCCTCGAAGATATATGAGGACAATGAAAGGACAGCCGCGACTAAGCTCCACCAACCCTTTCTGCAAGCTTTGATATTTCCTAAAAAAAACCTGAGTAGAGAAACGGACTATGCTCAGTGATCTGGTGATTTCCAGGCTCACAGTTATCAAAGTAGCCAGCTTCACTGAATCTGAAAGCCCTGCCTCGAAGGTAAATGAACAGAGAAATGATGACATAAGAATTTGTCCATTGAATTTCTTCGCTAGCGTGGTCTTTCTCAAACATGCAAAAATTATGTAGAACATTATAGGCTTGGCTATAATTTGCTTGAGTTACTAGACATAGTGCGCAATTTTCCTGAATTACGGGGTTTGTAATCGCACTTATCTGACGGACTGTATTCGTTTGTATATGAATGCATTAACCTCGTGGTTGCTACCGAGTGTTGTACTTTTGCTTACTCACATGCTTAAGACCTGTTAACTTTGTCTAATTGTATGTTTTTTTCCGTTTGCCACTTCTACTTTATTTACAGTTATTGTCCAGAGATAAGACGAAACGCAACAAAAGCTACAAATAAAATTTCCCTTCGCTAATTTCACTTTCATTCGAATCTCGTAAGCGATATTGGTGGTGAGCAAACTGTTGCGGCTGGTTGGTAGCCAACACAAACATTATTTACAAACTAAGATACCGTTACATTAGAACATTACGAGATAAAAAGAAAACACAAAAACAAAAACAAATACGCGCATAAAGTCTAATTAACACAACACACCTTACCACCAGCAAAGAGTCGGGCAAGAAGAGGAAGCAGCAAGCAAAGTATGCGAATTGTAAAGCAACACAAGCAAAAACAATGCGAATTATAAACGCCCGAATTGCCGGTCAAATGGCTGATACGCTCCAGGATCATCGCCAATAAAGTTACCGTTTGTGTCAACAGCGCTCACAACAACAACAACTAACATAATCAAATTGCAACAAAGTCAACCTACAACCTGTCTCTTATACACATCTAGATGTGTATAAGAGACAGCTCCAGAATCATCGCCAATAAAGTTACCGTTTGTGTCAACAGCGCTCACAACAACAACAACTAACATAATCAAATTGCAACAAAGTCAACCTACAACTTAGTAATAGCAACTAATTGCCAACGAACTAAAGTTAACAACAACAAGAACATAAAAGCGGCGCCACAGTTGCGAGACCAACAGCTCTTGTAGCCAGTAAGCCAAGCCAGGTGTGCTGCACACCACGAACATACATAACTGTATATCACACCTCAAATTATATACACACCGGCACATAGATAGCGGCAAGCACAGACTGGTTTGCCAAGGCCGAAAATGTCCAACACAGATCTGCGTGCATTGTTCGAGAACTTGGATGATTCGGCAGCGGCAGCGGCGGCCGAGGCGCTCGATATCAAAAATATTATTGCCAATTTCTCAACGGAAATGTTGCGCATGCACAAAGATGTCCTTAATGTAACTGCAATGAACGAAATTTCCATAAACCAAACATTGAAGGTGCTTTGCGAGCAGAGCGGCAGGCGCAACGCGGTGAGTACCATTCCACGTTTACACACATACATACATACATACATACGAACATATTTATAAGTTCATGGTTAAGCCCGAAATTTATAGTGCTATTCCGGGCGCGTTGCGGCGTGAGCGTCGATGTGCCGGCGCATGAAGTGGGCGTCGCGTTTTAATAACACGAATGCGGAGTTATTTGCAAACACGCGTTGTTGATAGCCCTACTTTCGCTGAATATGAATTGCGTTGCTGAATTCGCGGAAAATTCCACAATTTCGTTCGAAGTGGGAAAATTTTGGTAATTATTATTTTTGGTGGTATTTATTAACTGATCGGCGCGCAAAATATTAAATTGAAACACAATTCAGTCAAGTTGTAGGAAAAACTTTGACGAGTCCACTATGATGTTCCATCCTGCTATTACAGATAAAAGTAGTCAGCAAAATTTTGCGAACAAAGAAATAATTCAAAATTGGTTAAATAAGTGATTTTCAATCATTTAACCTCAAATTTTTAAACAATTTATCATACAGTAGGGGCAATTAACTAATTGCCAATTATCATTGAATTGACATGGAAGGCCCAAAGCCAGCCTGTGATGTTTGGCAAAAAAAAAAAAAAAAAAAAAAAAAAAAAAAAAAAAAAAAAAAAAAAAAAAAAAAAGATTTAAAAAAAAAAAAAAAAAAAAAAATATATATAAAACAAATCAAAACAAGTAAGAGAGGACTGAGTTCGGGTGCAACGAAACATTTTACACTCTTGCAAGTGGTAAGAATAAAATACAGCGAAATATTTGTAATAGATGCCAAAACTTTATGTTGGGTAGTCGAAAGAGTCTTTTCGTAATTTGTCAAGAAAATTAAATTCGGGGAAGTTGGAAAAAAGTTTGAGCTGTTCAAAAATGAGTGAAAATAATGAAAAAATTCGGTATATTTTGAATTTTTTTTATAAAAAAAGTGAAAAATGCCACGCAAGCCACCAATGAAATTTGTGAACTTTACGAAGACGATGCTGTATCAGTTCGTGTAGCACAGCAATGCTTCGCTCGATTTCGTTCTGGAAATTTCGATGTGAACCTCGCTCTGGTCGACCTCTCGTTGAAAAATTCGATGAAATTATGGAAAAGATTGACCAGATCCGTCACATAAGCAACCATGACATTACTAAAGAATTTAGTATTCACCATAAAACGGTTTTGAACCTTTTAAAATAGGTTGGCTACAAAAAGAACCTCGATGTTTGTGTACCACATGAACTGTCTGTGAAAAATTTAATGAACCGAATTAACATCTGCGATTCTTTGCTGAACCGAAATTAAATGGAACCATTTCTGAAGCGAATAGTAACAGGAGACGAAAAGTGAGTCAAATACGACAATAATGTGCGAAAAAGATCATGATCTATGTTTGTAAAGACAGAATTTGACGCCTCGAAAGGTTATGCTGAGTGCTTGGTGAGATTTAAAAGGAATTATCCACTGTGAGCTGCTCCAATCTGGTCGAACGATTGATTGAGACTGAAGCCAGCAATCGAAAACTGATCAACAGAAAGGGCTTCGTCTTCCATTAGGACAATGACTTCACCATATGGCCCTGACCTTGTACCATCGGACTACCAGTTTTTTCGATTTATGCAGAACTCCTTTAATGGTGTAAAGTTGGCTTCAAGAGAAGCCTGAGAAAATTACTTAAGCTGCTATTAGCGAAAATCTTAAAGTGTTATAACTAAGCACTCAACTACGATAAAAACCCGTAATTTGGCATCGGGAATTTTGAAAAAATGGGCGTGGCCCCGCCCTCTAACTAGTTTAATGCAAATATCTCCTAAACCACTTAACCTACAACARCCGAATTTGCTGTGGAGTTGAGTGTTGAGTACAAATCTTATAAGAACTTCTACCAGTGACCAATGTGAAAATTGATGAAGTCGGAGGATAACYCCGTTCACTCCACATATAACGGTACACACATAACGGTACAGAGACATTAAATTTTGCCGCCGAGATGGTATGAGTGAGCTGTATTTGACGATGGGCGTGGCATCGCCCACTTTTTGGTGAAATCCCATATCTCGGGTCCCGATTTTGAAAAAATTAAAAACGTGGAATTCTTAAATATCATATGTCTGCATGTCAAAAATGGGTGTAATCGGTCCACTACCCTTAGCCTCTATAAACTTAATACTATATTAAGATTTTCGAACTTCTGCGGAACTTTGTATATCCGCCAATATGTGAGTTATCCCAAAGAAAATAAAAGAGTTTCCTCATAACAGTGTATCTTTGTGCCTAAAATGGATAAATGTGAGACAAAACTTGACCTAGCCTTCAGATAATAAATATTAGGATTTTCGAACATCCGGCTGACTTTATATGATTGATTTTACACCTAAAGAAACCTACAGTAACGCTTTGATTCTTGTAAGTTGCAAGAGTATAAAATGTTCCGTTGYACCCGAACTTTGCTCTTCCTTGCTTATTAAGCTAAYGTTTGGTAAATTTTTCATATTTTTTTTACTTAGGGATGAGATTGGAGCAAATGATTTTTATGTCAATGTGGCAATGAATTTATTAATAGATGAAAATAGCATTAATGGAAAAATATTAAGGACTTTTTGATTAATTGAACCCTTACTATATTATCGCAAAAATTAAATCAGGCTGTATTATAGCAATTTACCTCCTGCGGAACAGCAAAGCACACCCCTAACCAATTTATTAGATCTATTGATTTTAAAAAGCTTGTAATGATCGTTGTTTGTGAGGTCTTCATATATTAATTCAAAAGTTTCGGCCCGCTTGCAAAAAATAATCACTATAATTATTTCTTGCACATTTTCAATACTCTAATATCAATTTTCTTCCCGGCTTCAAATAAATTTCAATATTTTTCATATAAAATTTTTAAATTTGATTCAATTAAAAACAGTGTCCTACAGGAAACCTACAATTTTAGTTAGTTAGTTAGTTTTATAAGCGGCCTGTGACCTCTACTTGGCAAACATACCATGAGATAGCAAATTCTCTGCAATATGCAATTTATAAACATAAGTGGTGCATATTAYGTGTATTTGGATGCATGTGTGTTCATGTATGTATTTTCCGCAAGTGTATTAACCACTCTCAGCACTGCAAGTCAGCAAATTGCTACCACAAGCTAACGCAATAAAGTATACGCCACGGGTCACAAATTAATTAGTCCAATTCCCTGGTTGTGCTGTTTATAGCGATGCAGTATAGCATTTACAGCAAATACTACTGCACATGTAAGCACACATACATACATGCATAGGGTGCATTAATACTTGAAAGCCACTGGAATGTCTATACGAATATTAAAGATTTTTTAAACAAAAACTAATAATATTTATTATACAACTTACTTGATAAACTGGCCGAAGCAATGATTTTTTTTTTTTTTTTTTTTTGTAATACATATATTCATTTATATATTTATACTCTCGCAACAAAGTTGCTAAAGAGAGTATTATAGTTTTGTTCACATAACGGTTGTTTGTGAGTCCTAAAACTAAAAGAGTCAGATATAGGGTTATATATACCAAAGTGCTCAGGATGACGAGAAGAGTTGAAATCCGGATATCTGTCTGTCCGTCCGTGCAAGCTGTAACTCGAGTAAAATTGAAATATCATGATGAAACTTGGTTCACGTATTTCTTGTCAGAAGGAAACTGAACCAAAGCTTTTTTTTAAATTGAAAATGGGCGTGGCGTCGCCCACTTATGGACCAAAAACCATATCTCAGGAACTACTCGACCGATTTCAATGATATTCGGTATATAATATTTTCCTAACACTTTGATCACATGTACGAAATATGGGTGAAATCGGTTCAAAACCACGCCTTCTTCCAATATAACGCTATTTTCAATTCTATCTGATGCCTTCTCTGTATAATATATACATTAGGAACCAATGATGATAGCGGAATAAAACTTTACACAAATACGGTATTTGAGCTGAGGAACACGAAGAACTCAGTGCCTAACCTAACCTAACCTAATTTTTCACCGAAAATATCGGTAAATCTCTCAGATATTTTCATGTAATTCAGAGGGCATCATTTTTATACTTTTACAATAAAGTTGCTAATAACGGTATATATCGTCAGATATATGGTTACATATACCAAAGTGATCAGGGTGACGAGTTGTGTGGAAATCTGGATGTCTTTCTATCCGTGAGTGCAAGCTGTAACTTGAGTAAACATTGAGATATCTTGATGAAACTTGTCATGCGAGAGTATAAAATGTTCGGTGACACGCGAACTTAGACCTTCCTTACTTGTTTCTATTACTGAACTGTTGTTTTTGGTAATACACTCGTCATTCGAACCGAGTCTCTTGTCAGAAAATAAATTTAAATAAAGCTGGAAGAAATTCTGGCCACTCTGTCCGCAGATCTGTTTATTTATCTTGTTCATCACGATTTTATCTAATAATGTGTGCTGTTATGACACATTATAATATATTTGCGGTTGCTAGACTGGACGCCGTAATGAGAGTTCCCCATATTGCTTGAAGTAAAGCTCTCAGTCAAAAGTTACTTAATTTATTCGGTGCGCAGTGCAAAGATACTCAAGTAGTGGGAAACTCGTTGTAGTCACTTTACTTAATTACTAATTCCTCTCCTTTTGTATATATACATATATATATATATATATTAATTTTATTTTCCTATATTAGTTTAAGTTGTATTTATTTCATCTATTACAGCCACGCAATGACTCAGCCAACTACTTAACCTGCCCGCCCTCGTTTGATTCTGTGCTTTGTTGGCAAGAAACACTGGCTGGCACGACAGCCATACAACCCTGTTTTGATGAATTCAAGGGTATACATTACAACACAGCAGGTAAATATGAACTGGATGTAAATTGGAACCATTTTATAGCACTAATATTCCCAATGACATAAAAATATGCCCTCATTAATAACAAAAAGCTGTGAGTCAATATGATAGATAGATCCAAACCATATGATTTTTCAAATGGAAAATTGACAAAAATTCAAGTGTTTCTTAGTAGCAGACCACACACCTCATTCGTATCTGCACGACTGGTGATCTGTTACAGACATACTTGTATATGAATATACCATAAGTATATATGTGTTTTCTTAATTCGCCATTTATTGCTTCAATAAATCTATAAAGTCAACATGTTCTGATTTCGAAGACAAATTGTTTGCTTCATAATAAAAACGGCAAATAAGCGTGCCAGTTGCAATGGTTCTATGTACTTTTGATATACAGCTCTATAAATAAAATTGATTTCGAAATATGAAAAAAGATGTGCCTGATAAATTATGTGAGTACATCAGCATTGTACAATGCAAAAGAAAGTCACATGTTTCACCCGAAAACCTACCAAAGACATTGATATAGCCAAACGGTAGATATTTCATGAAAAGCTTGCGCCAAAGACAGCAAAGCAAGACAGAGACCAAATCAAGCAAACAAGTTTCATATGAAATATCTTTCAAAGAATATTAGCCACTTTGAAGGTAATTTAATAATACCACTCTCAACCCACCCCTTCTTGCTTAAAACACTGAGACAATCGATTTTCACAAACAAAATCACCGTTCGTAACTGGTATTAATCACTTGAGCTTAGCTCCTGACTGATACATAAGAACCAACCAACAAAGCTACCGCAGTTTCTAGTTAATCACTTTCGATGCCTGTGTCCAGCGTTGTCCTACTAGAGCACAATTCCTTTCATATTGACCAAAACTGATTGCTTCTAGGCGGTATAGTTGTCAATTACAAAAGTTCGAATTAAGTGTTTGACTATGCTGAATCTCTCAGTTGATGATTCCCAGCTTCTCTTAACCTTTCGCAGCAAAACTTTCTTGACCGTCAATACTGACATGACAACCATTCGCGCCGCTCACCCTAATTCGATCACGACCGTTGTCGCATGCCATTATCGTAAGCGACTCACTTTTAATCACCAATATGATTCGAGCGTTCACATCGATAGCAAAGCGGCAATACTGGCGTTAAGCTCGCTAATTGTGCGCTCAAAGATAGTCAGGTAGTATCTGTCCTCACCAGCAGTAACAACAAGCTAATTCATTCTTATTTCATACTTATTTCATAGTAGTGTGAACTCCGTTATCATCTTACCTTTTAACACTGAATCTACGGACATTGGGTGCACTTAGCAGACGTTGATCGACGACCCGCTCCTAGGCAAAAGTCAAATCCTGTGGGTATGGAATAAAACAAAGGAGATCTACTGAACTAATTACTCTTAGCAAAGTTCTGAGCGGATATTGTCCAATAAGCACTAATGCTTTACAGCTAGAAATGTCTTCAGGACACAAATTGTCCAAATTGTTTGAAAGTAGGTGAGGTAGAAACACACCGAATCTTGCTTTTGCATTGTCCATCCCGACTGTCATACCTTCTGCCAACCAGGAGACACAACTAACCGGTGTTCTAAGTTCTCCAAATCAGTTGGGGCCGGACTCGACGACTTTGTTTTACCCACATTTTCGCATCGCCGATTGACTCCTATGGGATCAGGTATATAAACACTATTCATGTATCAGCCACTTGCCTTTCGGTTTCGACTCTTCGAAGAAAGACTTCAAAATATGGCGTATTTTCTTCAAGTTGGTGTCTGTCTCTGACGCTTGCTCAAATATTCAATATTGTCAAGGAATCACAAAACTTTGGAAAAATTGTTGCTTTGTACGAAATCGTATTTAATGTCATGTAGCCTAATCCATTCACAATTATAGAAAGCGATATACAAACTTCTAAAGCAATCTATTGGAAAAATAATATAATTCCTTAATTTGTCAAAGGAAAAATATGGAGCGAAACTACACAGAATGCATCTTGAGTAAATTGAACATGAATAAAGAGCTTGTAAGGATTATTTATAGAAATTCATATTCTAAGCAAATTTCGGACTTTATGACGATATTTTTGTAATGTCACTGTGTTGTTCTGACGACCGACAATATCCCCCCAAATAATTTTGTCAGCTCTGTTGGACTGTCTGTGATGGCAAATTTCAAATGTCAATCAACCGCATATATACAGTTATAAATTCATGCACTTGAGAGTTTATGTCACTTTTGGCGCGTCAGCTTAAAATTAACGTGCTGACTATGTTAAATATTGTCAAACTAAATCATTAAAATACAGCTCGTTTGAGTTGTCAACCGAAGTTGTGTCACATAGCGGCGAGTGAGGCTGTCGAGTATATGAAGAACGCAAATATTTGCAAATGAAATTTTAATTACTTCACTATATTACTCAAACACCAATGTTAAATTATGTATGTATATACACACACACACACACACACACACACACTTATTAAGTAGACGGTATTTTATGCTTATGTGAAAATTACTGTTTCATTAGCGCTTTCACACGACTTCGTCACGCGTCTATGTATCTATGTCAGTGTGTCAAATACCAACACTTAGGCAAGATCATTTGTAAATATATGTATAGTGTGTATATTTAAGCAAAAGTCAGTGAAGTGCAGCGGCCTCGTGGGTGGTGTGATAAGTGGTAGTATTAAGTTTGACACGCGAGATCATATGAAGTGCTTGACAATAAGTGGGAGAACTTTGAGAACACCGACACTTCGTGTAAATGGTAGATCTGTATTCTAAATATGTTATATCAATTGGTTTTTTTTTTTTTTTTGTGATTTAATGAAGTTTTAATTTGCACTAAGTCTTTAGTTAAAATGCAACAGAAGAGCCAAGCTGTACCGAAAAAAAAACTTCAGTTGCACCCAAACTATTATACCCTTAACTTTCTATGGATTTCGTGAACCAGAAAAGTTGCTTATTTTCAATATATTTTTTTCACATAAAAATAAAATGTATTATTCAAACTTTTTCTTATTCCAAGATACATGTTTTACAAAGATTTGGTGATATGTGATGATGATTTTTAAGTCACTGTATAATTGACCTCGAGCGAATTTGGGGCAACATTCTCGAGAAGTTATAGAATTAAATAAGGCAGTAAATTATTATTTTTGTTTTTCGAAGATGTGAAACCCATGTATCTCCTTAAAACAGTAAAGTTTATAAAAAGATATTTCAGTTGATTTTGATAGGTCAACTTGTGAGCAGGATATATGCTACAGAAGTTCGGTATGAACAATTCGGGCAATTATAGCGCAGACTTGATTAATAATATGTGCTGAATTTTTGAAGATGTTTCGTCAAATAAAAAATTTTCCATACAAGGACTACATTTTCATCGGTCAATTTGTATGGCAGCTATATGATATATGGTAGTAGTTCGATATCGGCGGTTCCTATTAATGAGTAGGTTCTTGGGTAGACAAAGCTTCGATCCGACTCTTCACTTTCTATCGACCAATTAGTAAAGTTAGTTTGAAAATTCATTCAATAACATCTATAGATAATACAACTAAATCCACGTAACCAGAAGTGGCTTGGATTGCTGTCCGAACTTGAGCAGGTTATGTTTTATTACTGCGAAAACAACAAAATTTTTCTTCAATACAATTTGAGAATCATAGTGTTCAAACAAATTTTAGGAGTAAAATAATAATTGAGGAACATTGAAAAGCCAGCAATGAAAAAGCTTTTTGCAGATACATTTTAAAGAAATTGTTTTTATCTTTATTTTCAAAAGTATGTTTAAGAAATACTTGTAGTATTTTGTTTTCTTATTTAGAAGAAAAAGTCCATTTAATTTTTAGTCTACACGCATTACGGCGAATAAAAACTAATTTTGAATGGTGAGGTTGACGAAGAAATATGGTAGATACCGAGTTAGGTATTTTTCTTTCCAATAATAAGGAAATAATATGAAACTGAAAAGCTTCCATAATTATTAAGAGCTTATACTTGGAGATATTTATACCCTTAGTAGTAAGTACGCCACCCAAGAGGAAACTTCGGAGACCCTACAAAATGTTTATATCACATAAATGATCAGAATGACAAGCTAAGTCAATTTTGCCATGGCCATCTGTCTGAAGTTCCAACGGATTTCATGTATGGAATTAAATTTCTGATGTCGAAGCATTCAGCATTTTGAAAAAGGAAATCGGTGATAATTGTTTGTTGCGAGGAAGTGTTTTTGATTCGTAGAAACTATTAAAGGAGGGTCGAGAACACGTTGACGACGAACCACGCCCATCAATATCAACTGATGATCAACACGTCCTTAAAATAAATCAATTGGTGGTGTCGAATCGAGCATTAACAGCCACAGATCTTACTAGAATTTTTGGTATATCGGAAGGATCAGTGAAAACTATTGCGAAAGATCATTTGGGCTTAAGAAAAGTAAAATCGCGATTGGTTCCTAAATAACTACATTTTTTTTTTTCAACAACGGCGTCGCGCTAAGGTCTGTGAAACAATGCATGCCGACTACCGGGATGTCATGAAACGTATTATTACTTGCGATCTTGAATCTAAGCTTACAACCCGGAAACAGACGATCAATCGGCTGAATATCGTTGCAATCGTGAAAAATTAAGGTTATGTAAAAGTTTTATTTGATTATGGAGATCTCATGCACTCCGAACTCCTGCCAACCGGCCAAGCTGTCAATAAGTAATGCGAGGGTATTCGAATTCGGAGTTAAGAGGCGAGAACACTTGGTTTTTACACCACGATAAGGCAACGTCGCGTACTGAATTCATTTCTCATGAATTTTTCGCCAAATATTCAACCCATATCGGGCTGCAACCACCGTATTCTCCGTGAGGTTTTTGGTTTTCGGCAAGCACAAACGACAACACCGGAAAACCGTTTTGAGTCGTTTAAATGTAAATCGTTTGTAAAATGCATCGATGACTATTTCGGAAATTGAGGATTAGAAAAAACGCTCGCACAAATGTATTGGGACCAAGGGGGGTTACTTAGAACCGGATGACTCATAATAATATAACATATAAAGGATCATTACAAGCTGAGTCGATTTTTCCAAGTCTATCTGTCTGCTCATCTGTTTGTATACACATATACATACGTATACACAAATTAGTCCCTCAATGTTTGAGATATTGATCTGACATTTTGCACCCATTCTATTTTCCCCAAGAAATATATACGATCGAAGTTCTTTTATGGCGTCTTTCGAAAACCAAATTTTCACAACATACTTAAAGCAATAATCATAATTGATTTTTTTTTACCCACCCTAACATGTATTTTAAAATTTCTCTTGTTTTACAGAAAATGTAACACGTCAGTGCTTAGCGGACGGCACGTGGGACAATTACACGGAATATATGCGTTGTCAGCCGGCTACAATATTACCGCCACAATTGGCCGATCTTTCGCCCACAATCGAATTATCATCGTATATATATTTCATTGGATATTTCATTAGTTTAACGTCGCTCATTTTAGCACTGATCGTTTTCTATTTCTTCAAGTGAGTAAACAATAAAACATTTACATATTTGACTTCACAGATTTTTCGGTTGTACATACAAAGACACATAACACATATACATACATGCTTTTATAGGTACATATACAAAACTGTTAATGTAGTTAAGCTAAACAAATGAAGGAAGTTGGCAGTAAATTTAATTTTGTTGAAATATTAAATAAATAATCAAAATTTAATTTTGTATGCAATTAAAATTCTTCTGTTTTATTCATAAAACATCCGTTTATTTATTTTCCTTGTTTTTTATTTGGTTGCAGAGACTTGAAATGCCTGCGCAACACCATTCATGCGAATTTATTCCTCACCTACATACTCGCCGCGCTGCTGTGGATCCTCACGATGTGCCTGCATGTGGTAAGCCAAGCATTAGGCAAAATGGAATGCGTCACTTACTTTTGTTGTTTCGATTAAAAACGCTTCCATAATGAATTAACCACAGGTGCTAACTAATGGCTGTTACTAATAATGTCTTTCTTTTGCTTTGCTCATGCATTTTCCAGATGACGGAGCATCCCAGCGAGGCCGGCTGCATCACTTTGGTCATGATGTTTCACTATTTTAATTTAACAAATTTTTTCTGGATGTTTGTGGAAGGTAAGCGGCATATACGCCACTATTTTTAAATATAAAGTAAATTATTGCTACTCTAATTTTTTCCCACAGGCCTCTATCTCTATACTCTGGTGGTGCAAACATTTTCCAGCGATAATATTCGATTTATCATATACGCCTGCATTGGTTGGGGTGAGTATTTTTGAATAAAGAAAATGCTTTAAGAAAGTAGTTTTATCAAACGATTTTTTTTATTCAGTTTAAACGTCAAATTTATTTATTTGTTATATTTATTATTGCTTTTGTGCTTATAAAACTTTTCCAAACCGTTGTACAATATACTGTTAAAAGGATGGTCTTTGCGCGTTGAGACAAATGTTCCCAGCCGTGGTTTTCCAAATTGTTTTTAACCGGTCTTGCGATATGAGGATGAGATTTGTCATGATAGAAACTTGTGGTCTCGTGTCTAGTCGAAATTTCCGCTCGTTCTTTCACAATCGCTCTCCTTAATTTGATAAGTTGTTGTCGATAGTGTTCTTCAATAATGGTTTCATCCGGTTTTAATAACTCATAATACAACACGCCCTTCTGATACCATCAAATACAGCTTGTAGTCATGGATATCTGGCATTGCCGTTCATTTGGCTAATTGGCAGTTTTCAGATATGACTTTTTGAATTAAGGATTGTCGTCAGAGATCCATTTTTCATCACCTGTCATAATGCGATGCAAAAACGACTACTTTTAGTAGCGTTCAAGCAGCTTCTCTGACATGAAAACTGGTCTTTCAACGTCTTTTGGCTTAAATTCAGATGGTACCTAAGTTCCTTTCTTCTGCATGTTTCTGGCTCCTTATAAAAGTTTTGAAATAGACTCCTAAAGATTATGCGAGCTCTTCTTGTGTTTGGCAATAATCTTCATAGAGTAGTGCTTTTGGTTCCTTTTCTTCACATTTTGGCCTAGGACATTCATTGTCTTCCAAGCCAAAAGCTTCTTATTCATTGGCGTAGACACCGCTTACGCGATTATAGCCGAGTTTACAACAGCGCGCCAGTCATTCTTTCCAATTGGAGATTTCAGGTTCTTTCCACTTGGTCTTTCGAACGGAGTAGGTCGGATAGGTCTTCCTCTGCTTCCTCCGGTAGGTATTGCGTCGAATACTCGCAGAGCTACAGTTATATGATCTATTCGGACGACATAATTTAGCCTGTGTAGCCGCTGTCTCTTAATTCGCTGACATATGACAATGTCTTCGTATATCTCGTTCAGCTCATCGTTCGATCGAAATTGGCAGGACGAGGATGACACTCAGCTAGAAGACGTCGATCATAAAGTTCCACCAAAATATTATTACTTTCGGCTGAGGTTTTCTTATTATTAGTCTCCGATAAAAGGGAAATATATTATATATATGTGAACATTCTTTGGCATTTATTTTTTGAAAATTATTTCTTTCAAATGTTTCTCGCGGCTACCTCTCAGATGAATCAACCGATGAGTACAATTTTCGATGACTCAATCGAGCACTTCGACTGGTAACTGGCGAATGAAACACGAGATGATTGATTGATGCGATGTGTGGGAAGTGGCGCCATCTTGTTGAAACCAATTGTCGCTGAGATCACGATCTTCAATTTCAGGCATCAAATAGTCGGTTATTATGGGCGTTGACGGTTAAGTACTCATCTGCATTATTTTTGAAGAAATGATGATTTCACTGGCCTACAAACCACACCAAACCGTTATTTTTTTCTGGATAAAATGGCAGCTCTTGAATCTCTTCAGATTGTTCTTCGTTCCTAATGCGGCAATTGTGCAATACACTTTGAGCTAGAAATGAGCCTCATCGTTAAACAAAATTTGCCGCGAAAACGTCGATTCTTCCATGAACTTTTCAAGAGCCCATACAGCGAAGAGGATGTCGTTGGAGAAAGTCTATAGGCTTCAGTGTTCCAGCTGTATCCTGATTGACCGGAATGCTTCGAACTGTTTATTTACTACTCACAAGTTGAAAACGCTTTTATAATCCTGTCGATTTTTTGAAGAGCATAAACTCTTCCAATCCCTTTAGTTAAATATTTCCTTATTGAGCATGTTATTATTATATTATATTATTCATTTCTATTATTAGCTTTATACGTTTGTTTGCTTATTACTTAATTTAATTGCATTTATTTAAGCTTTTGTTTATTTTCTTTAGAATTAAWTTTATATTTTCTTTCTTTTTCCCCTCAATTTATCTCCTTATTACACCGAACTAACCACGAACGTACACTACCTTTGCCTTTGAATTATTGTATTTACATTCGCATTGTATTTGTTTACTCAATTGTTGCAATTCTCTTCTTATTTATTCAATGGTGCATTGTTGGTCTGTTTTGCATCTCCTTAAACCACAATCCATGCGCAAACATAGTTGCAACAAAAGCTATTAATTTTTTAATAAACAAACACTTACGCACACACACACCCACACACACTCACACACATATACACACATACACATGCAGTTGCAATTATCTAAATGTTATTGTTAATTTTTATAGGTTGCCCTGCTGTTATAACATTTATTTGGTCAATAGCAAAAATCTTCGCCACATCATTGGAGAGCGAGCATTTTAACGGTGTAAGTATAAATATTATTTCAGCATTTCCCAGATTTATTATTGTAATTAGCAATGTGCTGCAATAATGTGCTGCAATAATGTAAATCCCCGCATTTACATAATTGAAATTGTGCTAGTTTGCAGCTATCGTATTACCGATATTTACGAGCATATGTCTGTAGTATGATGGGCCGGATTCTTCACTTCATCGCTTTACGTCATTGCCGGTCTATATTTATTTATAGTACTTTCTTTCAATATGGCCATATGGCACCAACTGATGAGTTGACCGAAATTTATCTAGTACCGTTGGTGGGAGTGTGTATTTTGTTGTGGTCATATTTAACTTTTGAACAGATGTCGCCTGCTTTATACAGGGTGAGCCGCCTTTTTTGGTGGCGTGTTAACATATGTAGAAGTGCAGGCAGATTCTTCTCAACCTGATTTGAAGGTATTCCTGCTCCCCTCCTTCGACCGGCAGATATTGAATCGAAAACCTTCCAAGCTGTAGTGTTTTCATACAGTCGGACGACATGACCTAGCTGTCTCTTAATTCACTGAACTATATCAATGTCGCTGTATATCTCATAGAGCTCATCGTTCCATCGACTCTCTCGAACCCTCCTAAGGCCGACTCATCAGAGGATATCATTGTCCATGCCTCCGCACCATAAAGCAGAACGGGAATGATAGAGGATTTCTAAAGTTTTTTTCTTTTTTCGTTGGGAGTGGACTTACTTTTCATTTGCCTACTCGAATTGGCACCAAATAGCGAAAGTAGAAACGACTGGCTTGCACTTAGTCCATCATTAGGCCCATTGAAATCGAAATCTCAAGTGGTAACCAATTAACTTTGATAAAACACCTGAACTTTTTCCATCCATCAGCTATCCAATGTATTTTAGTTGAAACAATGGGAGGCGCGTATACCAATTTTTTAATATGTTCACATTACTAAATTTCTAAAAGTGGGATCGTAGGGATAAGTGCCCTTTGATTACCATGAACATCAGAGTAGTTCTTTGATGTATCCAATGCGGCTAATGTTCCATGACGTGAGGATTTCCTTAGAGTCCATTGCCTCAAGAAAATATTGAAAGAACTAAATGATCCAGGGCAGCTCGTGTGAATAGCGTACCTGGCTACTCCCGAGTGGGCAAATAAGTCTGCCTTCGGCCAAGTATAACATCATGTATACGAGTATTGAAAATACATTTTTGTGCACTGCGCCCAAGAATTTGACAAAATTACTATGCCCGACACGAGTTGACTTACACAGTCAACGGAATCGGCTACTTCTAAAGTGAACTTGCCGATAAAGAGCAAGAAATGTGTTCATGCATTAACGGTTTCTTACAATAAAACTAAATGAGGACGCACCCTGTATAAAGTGAAAGTATAATTAAGTATTTATACTGTATGTAAATATGTGTGCATTGAGAGACATTACTCGTTAATAACTGCCCATAATAAACTGCCCTGCCGTAAATAAACTGATTAATGATTCGGTAGCGTTCCCCATTAATTGTTTTGTTCACATTTAAAAGTTCATAACGCAACAAGCCCTTCTACTCCCACCAAATGCAAAACTGGAGTCATGTATATTCGGCATTACCGTTCATTTGGCTGATTAGGCAGTTTTCAGATATGACTTTTAGCTTTTTTGTCGTAAGAGTTCCATTTTTCATCACCGACTCCTTTTTGTAGCCTTCAATCGGCATTTCTGACGTGAATTATTTTCTTAATGAATTGAAGCTAAAAACTACACAGACATTTCACAAACCAATTATTTGTTTTGCCCCGAATTTACCTTCCACTCGCCTTTTTGAGTTGTACCGTCTAATGATTATGACTTTTGATCGATTGGAATCAATTAGGTAATCCTTAACCACCAACAAAGCAACGCTCTATATTTCTCCATGTGACAAGAATTCAAAGACGAAGTATTTACAAACTTTATCGACACCAGCTGGTTAATGGATCAAAACAATTAATTTCGAAAGAGAGGGATAGGGAGGGAGAGAGAGTGAAATAAGGAGTATTTCTTAATTCGTACGACTTTTATCCCTTACTTTACCCTTCGATCATAAAAGCTTTTCCGAAAAATATTATTATCCATTGATAGAAGAGGACACGTAAAGAAGACTGTAAAAGTCCCTTCCATAAAATACACCATCGGTGGATTATAAGATATTTCTTAATTTATTAAACATTTCTTTGCAGTTCACGCAGATCCCACATCAGGATTATGATTTGAAACCATTAATTCAGTTTTCTAATACTACACCGAATACAGCTATATATGTATAATATAAATTGCGTTGCATTGCTCATTACTTTAACGATGGAAATTGCTATAACTAAGCTTTTGCTCACACCTGCATTTAATTGAAAATATTTCTCGCTTTCCATTTCAGTTGTTCATTCAGTGCTCGTGGCTAAGGGAATCTCACATTGACTGGATACTTCAAGCGCCTACCTGCCTTGTATTAATACTCAATTTAATATTTCTCATACGCATCATGTGGGTGAGTATATGATTGCTTTAAGAATTGATTTAAATACACTTAATATTCTTAGTATTTAATGAAAGTGAGAGTGAGAAAGTTAAGTATGTCAGACAGGCAACCAGATCTGCTTTGGAAACTGATCATACCGATTTTTTACTTCCATTATTTTATATTTTAGCTTCAGCCCATAGATACAGGTACAGAGTACCCTCTAAGCAATCTCACGACTGGTTTTTTGTTCCTTCCTTTCCATCCAAAGTTACAAGCGCCCGGGAAGCAATAGTTCCCAACTAATATATTTATACACTGAATGCGGTATATTAAGTTGGTCATGAATTTCGTAACTCCCGGAAAGAAACGTCGAAGACCCTTCAATATATAAATGATAAGCATGCCGAGCAGAATCGATTTAGCCATGTTCGTCTGTCTGTATACACGCGAACTAGTTCTTCAATTTTTCAGTTATCTATCTGAAAGTACGCACACGTCTTTTTCTCCCCAAAAATATATTCATTTGTCGGAATCGCCGATATCGGATATCTAGAGCATTATACTTACTACCAGACAAACTGACCGCTCAGAATAAAGTTCTTATATAAACAACTTTTTTATTCGACAAGATATCTTACGAAATTTGACATGGATTATTGTTCAATTACAGCACTACACTATAGCATTGTCATAAAAACAATCCTTGGACAATCCTTTTTTCTTTATTTTAGCGAAAATTGCTTGAAACTCACTCAATCATAATTTGAACTAATTTTAAATCAACTGTCTCACTTAGGTACTAATCACGAAATTGCGCTCGGCCAACACATTGGAGACCCGACAATATCGCAAGGCTTCGAAGGCATTGCTTGTGCTCATACCGCTATTTGGCGTCACATATCTCATTGTATTATTTTGCCCGGGTGGCGAAGGTATTACACAAAACGTATTTGAAAATCTGCGCGTCTTTCTTATAAGTACACAGGCATGTATACCATACGTTCTAGAGCCTCTATTAACATTATATATATTTATTATATGTATCTAAACTAATTAACTAAAAAATATACTTAAATTTTGTTAGGGATTTTTCGTATCCTTATTCTTCTGCTTTCTCAATTCGGAAGTGCGTCAGGCACTAGGGCATCGTTTCATGAGATGGCGGGACAATCGGAATTTACGAAATGGCAGCATACATCGTAATCGCCGGTTTGAATATAGAATAAAGTTTTTAAAAATCATTTACTATCAAAATTAAGTTTTTTGCAGAAATAGGCTATCCAAGGACTACTCACATCGTTCAAGGACGGAAAGTTTACGGTAAGTTATGACACGAAGTTGACTATCTATTTTAAAAAGATTTTATATGTATGTTTGTCTACATATGTCATATACTATAAATATATAATTATAAATGGTGCATGTAACTGTATTAGTTTTTTTTTCAAATTTATTGATCTTCTCTTTGGTCGACATATTCTTCAAAATCCGTATTTTTTATTTCGTTTTGTGTCGTTGAGTCTCTGTTTTTCCAAAAAAAAAATTAGTTCCACCTTGCAACTATGTGAACAATGCTCAGAAACCAGAATAAATCGATAACTCAACCCTACCCGTTTTTTTAAAGTCAAGTTTCGATTTATGTTCCAAGATCAATAATTTGCTTTAAGTATTATCTTCCCTCGGCAGATAACAACAAACCTCAATTTCTGACCTCAGAAAGCTTCACAATAGTTGGGAGGCGACTGGAAACTTGTAGAGTCCCGTATTGATAACCTCACAAAGTGCTCCACAAAAAAAAAAAAAAAAAAAAAAAAAA